AGGATGTGTTCAGAGCCTGTCCCTGTTTCCCCTCCCTCCCAGGCTGTGTTCAGAGCCTGTCCCTGTTTCCCCTCCCGCAGTACCACGCCCTGGGGGTGCTCTACCACCTGAGGAGGAACGACCGGCTCGCCGTGTCCAAGATGCTCAACAAATTCACCAAGTCCGGGCTCAAGTCCCAGTTTGCCTATTGCATGCTCATCAGGATCGCCAGCAAGCTCCTCAGGGAGTCTGAGGAGGGGTAAGGCAACGGGCAATTACACTAATTAATTAGGCTTTGAGCCAACAGCAGCGTTTTTTTAACGTTTAAAAACACACACGGAGACAGGACTATTGTGTTAAAACAAAACCCAGGGGCAGAATGACTCAGCTGGGTGCTGGCATTTTTATTAGTGGTATCCTGGGAGCACTTAAAGCTTCAGAACAAGTACCTGCTTTTCTTTTTCCCCCTTTTTTTTGCCTTTGGAAAACAAGAGTTGTGACTTGTGGGAAATAACACAACTGTTTCAGAAAATCCCAATCCCTTTTCCATGATCCCAGCATGAGATTGTTAAATGAGAGCTGGCTCTTCAGTGCACTTCTCTGAGTACTGGTAGAAGTGTTTATTTGTAGAGTGCAGCGTTTCTGCTGGGAGGAACATCATGCAAAGATGAATAACAATAAATGCAGAGCTCTGATGTAAGGGTGGGGTTGAAACGTGAAAGGTGGTGCATGTGTAGGGTAGTGCTGGGATGAGGGCTGGGCTCCTGGAAAAGCTGCAGGCAGGGCTTGGCCAGGGGCACTCTGTGCTGGGTGAGGAACTGGCTGAGGGCCCAGAGAGTGGTGGGGATGGAGCTGCTTCCAGCTGGGATCCATCCCCAGGGGTATCCCCAGGGATCAGTGCTGGGCCCAGTCCTGTTTAATGTCTTTCTTGATGATTTAGATGAGGGGATGGAGGGAACCATCAGCACATTGCAGGTGAGCCCAAGCTGGGGGAGTGTTGATGTGCTGGAAGGCAGGAGGGCTCTGCAGAGGGCCCTGGCCAGGCTGGATCCATGGGCTGATTGCAAGGGGCTGAGGTTCCCCAAGGCCAAGGGCCGGGTCCTGCCCTTGGGCCACAAGAAGCCCCTGCAGCTGCAGGCTGGGCCAGAGGGGCTGGAGAGCAGCCAGGCAGGAAGGGAGCTGGGAGTTGGGCTGGGCAGGGAGCTGAAGAGGAGCCCGAGGGTGGCCAGGGGGGCAAGAGGGCCAAGGGCTGCTGGGCTGGCTGAGGAAGAGTGTGGCAGCAGGAGCAGGGCAGGGCTTGTGCCCCTGGGCTGGGCGCTGGGGAGGCCACCCCTGGAGTGCTGTGTCCAGCTCTGGGCCCTGAGCTCAGGAAGGCCCTGGAGGGGCTGGAGCAGGGGCAGAGAAGAGCAGCCAGGCTGGGGAAGGGACTGGAGCCCAAGTGCTGGGAGGAGAGGCTGAGGGAGCTGGGGGGGCTCAGCCTGGAGAGGAGGAGGCTCAGGGGAGACCTCCTCACTCTCTGCAACTCCCTGCCAGGAGGGGGGAGCCGGGGGGGGTTGGGCTCTTTTCCCAGGCAACCATCAGCAAGACAAGAGGGCTCGGTCTCAAGCTGTGCCAGGGGAGGTTTAGGTTGGATATCAGGAAGAATTTCTTTGCAGAGAGGGTGCTCAGCCATTGGAATGGGCTGCCCAGGGAGGGGGTGGATTCTCCATCCCTGGAGGTGTTTAAGGACAGACTGGATGTGGCATCAGTGCCATGGGCTGGGAACCACGGCGGGGTTGGACTGGCTGATCTCAGAGGGCTTTTCCAACCCAGCTGATTCTGGGATTCCTTGATCCTGGTGAGGTGTTTTTCCAGCCCAAACAGTTCTTTTCACAGCCACGAGAGTCCCCTGTTCGACTTCATCGAGAGCTGCCTGAGGAACAAGCACGAGATGGTGATTTACGAAGCCGCCTCTGCCATCATCCACCTGCCCAACTGCACTGCCCGGGAGCTGGCACCCGCCGTGTCAGGTGGGGCAGGGCCCTCTGTGCCCCTCAGACACCCCAAAAAGGGCAGTGAAGCCCAGCAGGGACAGTACAGCATGAATAAAACACCCAACCCCTGAGTTTAGTGCTCGTGCCCAAGTTAAAGGGCTTTTGGGTGAGAAGCACTTGGATCCCTTTTCTGTGTTTCATCCCGAGCTTTGGAGAACGGGCAGCAGAAGTGGCACAGGGGGACTTTGGGGTGGGAGGGAGTGTTGGAATGGTTTGGGGTGGAAAGGACCTTAAAGACCATCCAGTTCCAACCGCAACACCTCCCACTATCCCAGGTTGCTCCAACCTGGCCTTGGACACTTCCAGGGATCCAGGGGCAGCCACAGCTTCTCTGGGCAACCTGTGCCAGGGCCTCCCCACCCTCACAGCCAGGAATTCCTTCCCAATATCCCATCTCTCCCTGCCCTCTGGCACTGGGAAGCCATTCCCTGTGTCCTGTCCCTCCATCCCTTGTCCCCAGTCCCTCTCCAGCTCTCCTGGAGCCCCTTTAGGCCCTGCAAGGGGCTCTCAGCTCTCCCTGGATTCATGGCAGGAATTCTGCCTCCTGAGCTGATTGTGGGACATTGGAATTGCAAATCTCCAGGCCAGGAGCGGCTGCAAATTCCTTCTGAATCTCCTCCAGAGCAGAGCTGTTCCCAGAATCCTAAATTCATGGAATGGTTGGGTTAGGAGGGACCTTAAAGATCATCCAGTTCCAACAGGGACACCTTCCACTGGCCCAGGTTGCTCCAACCTGGCCTTGGGCACTTCCAGGGATCCAGAGGCAGCCACAGCTTCTCTGGGATTTCCATTCCAGGGCCTCCCCACCTTCCTAGCCAGGAATTCCTTCCCACTATCCCACCTAAATCCCCCTTTTTCCAGCTCCAAGCCATTCCCTGTGTCCTGTCCCTCCATCCCTTAGAACTTCTCCCCTCATCTCCTCGGTTTCCTTTTTTGGTTTCTTCTGGAAAGATCTTAAATTAGGGATGATTTTTTTTTAGCAGACAACTTTCTGTCCTTTATTTCCCATGTCTCAAACATGTTCTACTCTCCCAGCTCTGCCTGACAATCCTCATTTCTCAAAACAGGTTCAAACAAACACCCTCATTTCCCTTGGAACTGTATTCCCAGGAGGGAGGGTTCCATCCTTGCTGAGCCACCAGGAGAAGAAACCGCTTCAGAAATTCATCCCAGACTTGAACTCTTTGTTTCTTTTCTCTGGAAGTGTCTCTTTAGAAGTCCATCTCATCTTTCTTCTTTGAAGAAAAAAAACCTTTTATGCTTGACTCCTAGGAAATTTTTTTTTTCCTTGGCTTCTGGAGGACACTTTCTCCTTTTAGAAGGAAGGAAAATAAGGTAGAAATGAAGTATTTTCATTTAAAGAAGCAGATTTCCTGCAAGAAAGCTTTGGCTGCTCCTTCCCAGAGGACAATTTAGCATGTTTTAGGGAAAAAAAAGTCCTAATTCTTTCACCGAAAATGTATTTTTGTATTCCTCTTGCTTTCCCACCTCCTCATGGACACAGGCTGCACAGCTGGAGGAGAAGAAGGTGGGGCAAAAGGTCAGGTTGATGTCGAAAGAATCCTGAATATAATGTGGAAGTCAGGGAGAGAGAAAGTTTTATCTGACGGATTTAGCACACAGAGAAGCTGAAGATTTTATTTTATTTCTTATATATTTTTATTGGGTGGTAGGAAGGAGACCCAGGCTGTGCAGGGAAAACATCTCACTCCAGGATGAAAAGGTTGGTCTGGGATTTATGTGTAAACAACCATTCCCTTTGCTCAGAGATCCACTTAAATCTCGGTTTGCAGCTCCATTTCCAGGAAATATCCCTGGATTTTGGCTGCTCTTCCTCTGCAGCAGCTTTGTGGTAAGGAGGAGGCAGTTGGGTCACAGAAACAAGTTTATCCCGTGCTGGGAATATTCCCTGGAGCAATTCCAGTCTCCTGTGTGACACAAGTCCAGTTCTAGGGGGGAAAAAGCTCCTGCAGCCCCAAGATCTTCCTCCCAAATCCCTGTTGATGTCCCTGGAGATGATGTGGAATATTCATGTCCCTGGAGATGATGTGGAATATTTGTGGAGTTCTTTTATTATGTCTCAGTTCACCTCCTGTGGAGTTGCCTTAATTCTTTCACATCCAGGTTGAAATCCTGGAATCCCAAACTGGTTTGGGTTGGAAGAGACCTTAAAGATACATCATCCCACCTCCTGCCATGGGCAGGGACACCTTCCACTAGATCAGGGATCCCAACCTGGCCTTGGACACTTCCAGGGATCCAGGGGCAGCCACAGCTTCTCTGGGAATTCTGTTCCAGGGCCTCCCCACCCTCCCAGGCAGGAATTCCTTCCCAATCTCCCATCTGTCCCTGCCCTCTGGCAGTGGGAAGCCATTCCCTGTGTCCTCTCACTCCAGTTCCTGGTGAAAAGTCCTTCTTCATCAGGAAGGTGAACTCAGAGCTGAAGCCCCTGTGCCAATGGAAAACAATCCCAGGCTGCTTTTCCCAAGAAAACCTCAGGAGCAAAGAATGATGGGGAAAAGTGGGAAAAATGGGCTGTAGGGCCTTTTTTTTTTTTTTTTGTATCTATTTTGGTGTCTACTTTGGGAAACCTTCCACTGTCCCAGATTGCTCCAACCTGGCCTTGGACACTTCCAGGGATCCAGGGGCAGCCACAACTTCTCTGGGAATTCTATTCCAGCCCCTCCTCACCCTCCCAGTCAAGAATTCCTTCCCAATGTCCCACCTAAATCTCCCCTTTTCCACCTTAAAGCCATTCCCTGTGTCCTGTCCCTCCATCCCTTGTCCCCAGTCCCTCTCCAGCTCTCCTGGAGCCCCTTTAGGCCCTGCCAGGGGCTCTCAGCTCTCCCTGGAGCCTTCTCTTCTCCAGGGGAACCCCCCCCAGCTCTCCCAGCCTGGCTCCAGAGGGGGCTCCAGCCCTTGGAGCAGCTCCAGGATCTCCTCTGGACTCTCTCCATCAGCTCCAGGTCCTTCCTGCAGAGCAGAATTGATGGGATATCAAAGATACAGCACTGGGAATGAGGGGAGGAATTACCTGGACCTTCCAGCTGCTCCTCCCGTTGCTCCATTTCCTTCTCAGCCTTCCCCACTTTAGTGGAGTCCTAAAAAACTGGATTGGGACTGGCTGGGATGAGCAGGAGCTGCTGTTTCGTCCTGGAGGGCTGTTTTTGTCCCAGTGAGATAATTCCATGCTCTTTTTGAGGGATAAGGACCCTCAGACTCCCTCACACTCCATTGCTGGTTTTTGCTCAGCTCTGCCTGTCACCAGGAAGGAAAAACTGTGGGGAATTTTATATGGAAAAATATTTAAATGTGGGTTCTTTGCCCTCCTTCTCCTGGAGGAATTAATGTATAAATTCACAGAGAGGATTTAAAGCATTTTATGAGGTGTTTGTACATCAAACATTGGTCATAAAAACTAAACTGGGGCTTTCTGGTGAGTCCTAAAGAAACAATTCCCACCTCTCAGCTTTCCACCATCCTATATATTCCAGTTTCCCTTGCAGGAGAGTATTAAAGAAGTCTCTTCTTAGCTTTCCCATCTGTCAGGACATTTTCTGTATCTTTTCATCTTTTTTCTTCTTTTTTTTCTCCTGGAAAAGAATTTGGCTGAGGGTTGAAGAGCCTGTTTTTCACTAGTTTATTCCTGATTTTCATACAGTTGTTACACATTTGAATAGGGAGGTTTTTGCTTCCCTTGAATGGGGAAAAGTCGCAGATTTTAAAGCACAGGCACAGCTTCTGTAATATCCCATTTTATTGTTGCTGCTGGAATGGTTTGGAAGTGAACCTTCATCCTCACCACTCTTTTATTCCTTAATTTTTGTCTCCTTGGCCTTCATCCCCCCCATTTTCTGGCACATGTTTTCTTTGCAGATGTTTCTGTCTGGCCCCAGGAATGAAGATGTGATTCAGATCTCGAAAATCCAGTTGAGCTGCTTCATTATTTCATGTTTGCCACACCGAGTCGGGTCTTTATTGCTCTGACATTTTTAATTCCCATCTCTGGGATCTCCCAATATTCACTGATATGTTATCTGAGCTCCTTTTTTTTTTCTTTTTTTGGGAGCTTTCATTCATCAGAGCATCAGCGATGTGCTGAAATCCTCCTTCACAGGGCTGCACGAGGGAGCAGAAATAATGAATGCAAACTTAAAGGGGAAAATTTAAAAAAAAAAAGCAATAAAACATTGGCATGGAAGGAAAGCAAATATATTCATCTTTCCTCACTTTGGTTTTTTGCATGATACAGTATAAAAAAGACAATTTAAAATGAGATCTTGTGCAGATGGAAAGTGTTTCAAAGCTTCCCAATATCGATAATTTTGATTTTGCAGCAGGAGAGAGATGCAGGTTCCTTAGAGGGTTTCTCATTATTCCTTCTCTGAGGTGGAATTTGGGAATTTAGAAGGTGAAAAGCTGGGAAAAAGGCTGTGTTTGGGGTTCACTGGAAGTGTCCAAGGCCAGGTTGGAGCAACCTGGGCTGGTGGAAGGTGTCCCTGCCCAGGGCAGGGGGTGGCACTGGATGGGCTTTAAGGTCCCTTCCAACCCCACTCATTCCATAATTCCCTGATTTTCTGCCTCCAGGACAGGTCAGGATGGGCAGGATGGGAAGAACCAAAGCTTGGGAATGCCCTGGAGCTGCACAAGGCTCAGAGAACTTGGGGTGTGTGAGGATTTGACTCCATCAATGCCCAGATTGATCCCAGAATGGGTTGGGTGGGAAGGAAATTTAAAAGTCCTCTAATTCCAACTCTTTCCCATGGGCAGGGACACCTCCCACTATTCCAGGTTGCTCCAACCTGGCCTTAGACACTTCCAGGGATCCATATTCAAATGTGTACCAACTGTATGAAAAGCAGGAATAAACCAGTGAAAAACAGGCTCTTCAACCCTCAACCAAATTCTTTTCCAGGAGAAAAAAAAAATAAAAATAAAAAGATACAGAAAATCTCCCGAAATGGAGACAAGCACTG